TTAACATAGCAAGTTGCACATTTCTACTAAATGCTACAAATATTAAAAATAATTTAGGTGCTCATAAAATGTGCAATATCCCCCGTTTGACAATGTCAAAATACAAGAGCAAGCACATCACTACCTAATGTTCGTTGATTGAATGGTGTTATAAGGACATTTGAGAAGTGTTTATTTATCTATTTAAGGAGTTTCATGCTATTTCATGATAAAAAGCGCCACTGAGATCGCAGATGTGCTCGCAATGGCTCCGAATGACGAGAATATGGCAAATAAAAGTGGCTAGACGGATAAGTAATTCGTTGCACGCAATCGAAACCTGCTGTTTGAACTTCGCTTGGGAACGGATGGAAGTTGGAAGTCTCAGCATCATTTCTATCGCCAGTGACTAGTGGGTCGTGTCGTAATTCAATTCCCGCTTAGCGACACAAATCTTTTACCCCGCGCCGGGCCAGAGGGAGCTGTTTGAGCAGCCCCCTGCGTTTTTTTTTTTTTGCAGATATCGGCGCGGAGCGCGGCCGCAATCTTTGATACACCTGTTCATGCATCTTTTCCGCACATGTGAAAATTTGAGACGCAGGTCGATCAAGTTCAGGTCACCAAATCACGTCAAAAGACATTACCTCAGAAGGTTAGAATGCTCGCCATTGCTATAACTACTGAGAGACGCGATCGTTTGAAAGTTTCAGCGATTGGTAAGAGCAACTGTATGCATAATGCGCATACAGGGTGGGGCAGCATAATCGGGAATAAATATCAAACGGGATTATTTGGTCATGAATCTAAAAATATAGCTCCAAGCACTATTTTAGCAACATCCTATCAATCGGTCACCTTTTACCTATCCCTCATCCTATTTGACCGCCCTCGGCGTCGATGACCTTCTCAAGGCGGGTCCAAAAGCACGCGCATGCACGTGCAACCTCCTGCTTGTCCATGATCGCCCATCAGCTTCGTACCTTGCACTGAAGACTGTTTTTACTGATGATAAGTTGTTCATTAAACTTCTACCAAAAAACGCTCCATGTAAAGAATTTGGTCGGATTTAAATCGGCGGAGTTGAAGGACCAGAAGTTTTTGGTTCATCTCAGGTGGAGGTGCCCTACACAATAACATGTCGTCCTCACTGCAGTACCAGCACGGACAGAGTCCTCGTAAGACGTGATTTGGACCGTCAGTGATCCTCTCTTCCGACGGCTCCACGTGAGTCTGCCAGAGTGCGGTTGTATTTACCAGAGGTGCTCATTTTATCCGGGCTCGATGAAGTAGGGTGCACCACGTGCACCTCCCTTGAAGACCACCCATAGGTCCATCACCCCAACAGGATGTTTACTTTGCATGACCGCTGGAATATTCTCGATACAATCCCCTATATGGCATGCCATTCTTTTTTATCGTATTCCAGTCGGTGATAAGATTTTTTGTCGCTGAAGTTTTGAACATTGTTTCTTTTTAATATGCTCAAGTGCTTCTTCCTTATATTCAAGTGAGTCATCTTGTATGTCCTCTGCTAAGAGTTATTTTACGACGATTACGTTAACCTGTTGTCCTAAGTATCCCCACACAATCCTTATCGTCCGTGATAACACGTTGACCTGCCCAGCAACCTTTACGTGGAATTGCAGGGTTTTAAACAAAATGTTCTTGTTTTACTTGTTTAACATTAGTGTCTATGGGCGCGCGCAAAGCACTTGGAGCACCGTCGAACTATTTTGCTGCTCTTTTCCAGGAAGTTGCATGCTCATGGATGTAGTCATGTCAGATGATGCACAACTTTTGGGCGTTTCATTGCCATAATATAATTTATAAAAATAATGCCATGCCTACTCATGATCAGAGCCCAAAAAGCATTCCCGATTATGCTGCCCCACCCTGTATCTAGGAATTTTGAAATCGGTGACCTGAGGTCAGGTCAATTATGCACCCTCTCTATAAGTCAACATGGGAAAATTGAAGGGCGCCTCTTTTGGGCAAACGTAATTCTAAATACTCTCAAGCACTCTCAAGCATTGGATCACAGAACATGACACACTGCATCGAAAAATTACACCCGTGACAATCGTGCCTCTATTGCTCTCCTGTGGAGCCACTTTTGTCACATAAGCTTCACTATAGGTATGAAGAGTTGGGCAGGGGCGACAAAAAGCCTCCTCACGGGCCCCCGAGATTGGATTTTTTCTCCACGAACTATACGGAAAAATCCAACTTTTTCCGTATAGTTGAATTTTTTCTCCACTGGCTAAACGCTTCTCGTGAGCGGAACAACAGTCAAGCCACAACATAAGCAGTCTACCCGTGAGCAAATTGGTTTCGCTGTCCGCATGACAGCCGATTCACGTGTGGCTGCATTCTGCCGTCTGTATCCGTATTCCGTATAGTACGGCGGCGCGACGGTAGACACTGGTACATACCCGCCAATACCAGCGCTTCGGACCGGCAGACTCTCTCGGTTGTGGATCAGCGGTCAACTGAGCCGTGAAAAGTCTACTCACAGTTCACGAGAATGCCTAAGTGGGGAGCGCCTGGTGTTGTCGCATCAAGTGACAGTATTTATATAGGGATTGTCTCATGCAGTGCCTTATACTTAGCGCACAGCGACGCATCAGGCAGCTGTTATCTGACAGGGTTGCCTAAAATAAACACACATTTGTGCACGTAGCCACATCACTGAGGCAATGGCGCAGAAATAGCGCATGGCGATAAGGATGTATTACACGGGGTACCGAATCCACGTGTCGTGGTTGTGCACAGTCGTATAGAAATTATTGGGTCCTACTTCGTTCCTAAGCAATAAAATGATGCGATAGTATGGGTAAGTCGAACCAGATTTCATGGTTAACCAAGTGGCAAGGCAAGTGAGCATACATAATCCTCGCCGGCCAGGGGTTGATGCCATCCTCTTGTTTACCTGTTTATTTGTTTATCAAACCATATGATACCTAACCTACCTTACGAGTTTTATGAGGGTGAGGCCAATCGACCTGGCCTTGAGGGTTATAAAAGCGTGTAAGCCGCGGGATGTAGAAACGCCAACATTGGCATACTCTATGGGGGCATCCTTCATTCACGTCCCCTGAAAAGTTCAAGTCCTGGCGCACAGCTGACTTCCCTACGCCGCTCGGCGTAAGCTCGTCAGATCGCCTAAAAACGCCAGTACCTATGTAATAAATATCAAAATTTAAATAATTAAAGTAGCCCTTTCGCACACTGTACACTGTACAGTGTACAGTGATGAGCCCTTCAAACTTCAAACGATTCCTTTCTCGCCAAAATTTATGACAGATATTCCAGTTTTAGCCTCTTACAACGTAAAGATGGCGGAAAGACTGTGTCACTGTTCTCATATCTCCAAGACATAGATCGATCTCTGTTTCAAGCATTATATCGCCTTTTCAAAAGGATTACAATTTACAACCTAGTCGCCCGCTGCGTTACATTTCCACGGAATATGCACAAGCTTGCATTCCGATGTCAAATAATCTCTCCAGGCAAACTTTTTGGGCGAAGTGTCCGAAATGGGCTGCCCTGCTTCCCCCAAAGTAATGCTCCACAGAAAGTGTCTTGGGAATAACATTAATTACGGGCATGGTTTCGACGGCCTTTCACAAGATTATCAGGCGCCGTTATATCATAAGATATTGATCAAGTTTTTTTATCGAAAGATCGGGGGCGGTGCGGAAAATAGCATAGGGGAGAGTGGGGTAATTTGGCCGGTGGTGTAAATTGGCCGCCCCCACCTGTCCGATGTCTAATAAAAGTGAGTGAAATAACTCTAGTCTCTATTCATTTGTCATGGGTAGAGATAACTGGAGGACAAATGTCAAAACTTTGCCCCTCGTAGTTTTATTCAAAATTAATAAAACGTTAATTTCATTAGAAAATGGTAACTTTTACTTCTGTTTACATAGTTGTATAACATGTAGTATTTGGGCTAAAAACGAATTCAGCCATTACAGCGCCATTCTTGGGGGTGTTCAGCGGTTCCAAGAGCAATTTTATCTAATTCCGTAAAGCCGTGATGACTTTATAGACAAAATTTTTCAGAATGGCAATATGGGGTAATTTGGCCGGGACTAGCGGGGCAACTTGGCCGGTGCGCTCATGGTCACTATGCTGGGACGGCCGAGTTTTCATGGTCAATTGTACCATAAATGACATGATTCATGACCAACTTTGACTACTTTGATGCCTTACTTCCGATTGGTCAACTGTAAGAGCATGTGACGTCATCAAAGGTTACCAAACGTTTTTTGCTAATAAATCCTTACATAAAAATGGTACAGCCGCACAAATGGTCTCATTCTGTTCAGCTCGCCAAGGCGCATCGAATGATATGCATGATGACCTTGAAATCACGTGACCTTGAGGTCAAGCGACCTGATTCAACGTGACCTGAGGACAACCTTTGACCTTGACTTCTCAAGGTCAACACATATATCTTTCGATGCGGACTGACGAGAGAATTACGATGGTACTCGAAGTTTTGGCCTAGCTTGATTACTTCAAAAGTTATTCGTAAAAAACTGTGATCGCATCTAGAGCCGCTAATTTGGCTATTTTGACCCCTGTGACCCCTGAGCCAACCTCCAAAATGCGGCAAATGCGTCATAGGACACACGTCATTGCTGAATCTGAAGCTGACTCGCAATATAACAGAAAATCCCGACCGCAAACTAACGCCGGCCAAATTGCCCCACACCCCCGGCCAAATAACCCTGCTAGTGGGGCAATTTGGCCGCCTTGCAGACCTTTGTAATACGTCATAATTTCAATATAAGTAATTACTCTATCATTTCAAGCTCACTGTCCAGTAAAGTAAAATGAATGCGACACCTGCCAGCGTTGAGAAAATGCAGAAATGTGTCGTCAATTTTAAGTTATATCGTTTTCTAAAAAAAGCGGCCAAATTACCCCACGCTCCCCTACCCAGAGTACACTTTGTTGAATCAACCCGGCAAATCACGGATTAACCAGATATGATGGCGTAAATACTCCGCAGCAAATTTTCATAGAAATCGTATTTCAGCATTTTCGGACCCCAGGCAAGAAACACCCAGACACACCACAAAAACAACACTGCACAGCCACAGCCAATAGCCCCAGACGGCGGAATACGAAAAACGCGCGGTCGTTGAACCAGGCAGCTTAGACAGACCGGCAGAAGACACTGATCTTTAGACTTCGACGCTAACTATGGACGCACAGAGCCCGCAGCTTATTCCACCAGGCGACTCCAGCCTTTACCGCACCGCCAATGATCGTGTCGGTCGGACGATTGAGAGTAGGTACTGAGACGGGCCAAGTGGCCGGTCAGACAACTGAGAGCTCCAGGGGACAGATCGAATGACTGCACACGAGTCTCCCCGCTCGCAGATGGCACTTAAAGGCGGACTGACTTCTTTCCGGTGGAGTAACACTAGCCTGCGTCGTGGTATTTCTGTCGACCTAACAATATAATCGTTTGTGAACCAGGAGAAGACACCTTTTTCTATGCCAACGGGTTGACGCTCGGAACATTCTCGAAATATGTACCGACACATGTAATCCTGAACGCATCATGGGCAACAAGTTCACATGGCTAGTGAAACAGGCCGTACTTCTATGACAAGACTGCACATATTACTGGGCATCTGTCCGTAGGTGTTAAATCGAAATAAACAAATAAACAAACTGCCACGGCATGTGCAAGCGGCTACGCTGCCCATGCCGCAGTCACCGCAGTCAGTGCGCCAAAAACTGTCAGTGCACGCCGGGACGGTGGGCCGGCCGCGCAACAGCCACCGATTGAGTAGACGACAACTTCACGGTGATGCCGTGATCATGATCGTCTTGATCCGTTTCAAATGCAGGTAAGTGCAGTAATAAATTTAGATACCTACCTACAAAAATACGAACACTTTGTCGAAAACAACACTCGTTGAGGACCTCTCGAGTTTCACTGACATCACATTATCACGGCGTCCCAATATTCACCGGGACTCCAGAGGTATCATTCAGCCTGCGAACCTACCGCGAAATGCTCGGCGCTTCTTTCACATGGCCGCTACCCTCTTGGTGCGTCGCGAAGTCACTGGCGGCGCCTTCACCTTCAGTGGCAGCTTCAGCATGGCCCTGTCGCCTGACGACACGGTCAGACCGAGCAGAGCGCAGTACTGAACCAGCCTGCCGAGAGGGGCATAACAGTTAACACACGGCCAGATCAAGCAGTACTGGAACCGGAGAGGGGCATAACACATGGTCAGACCGAGCAGAGAGCAGTACTGAACCAGCCTGGCAGGAGGGACATAACACACGGTCAGACCAAGCAGTACTGGAACCGGGAGGGGCATAACACATGGTCAGACCCAGCAGAGAGCAGTACTGAACCAGCCTGGCAGGAGGGACATAACACACGGTCAGATCGAGCAGAGATGGGACATAACACACGGTCAGATCGAGCAGTACTGGGACATAAGACACGGTCAGACCGAGCAGTGCTGGACCAGCCCGCCGGAAGGGGAACTGCCAGAGATGCCATTCTGCGTTCAACAGTCAAAGAGCCGGGTCAGAGGTCAGAAGTGACAGCCGGGTCAGAGGTCAGAAGACAGACAGCCGAGTCGGTGGTCAGAAGTCAGACAGCCGGGTCAGAGGTCAGAAGTGGCAGCCGGGCCAGAGGTCAGAAGTGACAGCCGGGTCAGAGGTCAGAAGTGACAGCCAGATCAGAGGTCAAAAGTGAGACAGCCGGGTCAGAGGTCAGAAATCAGACAGCCGAGTCGGTGGTTGGTAGCCAGTGGTCTGAGGTCGACGATGAATGGTCAGGAATAGGGTTTCGGCCTGGGATCAGTGGTTTGGAGCCGTTCGCTAAGTGTAAATGTCAGCAGTCTGCGACTAATTGTATTTACGGCTTGCACCTATTGGTTTATTTATACAAGACCAGCACTCTTCGAATGCTTATTATTTGGGGCGGCGTACTGGGTAAGTTATCTAGGGCCGATATTGAGTGACAGAGTCCAGTGAGCATTGTCGACAGAACTGGAAAAAGTTGTCGCCCACTTTTCACAGAAAACCGGATGTGGCCATATTGTGTGTACTTCAGCTGATCCCAAACACTGACGTGATGATGCTCGCAGACATGCACAAAAAAAAAATACACTCAAAATACCTACATCGTAGCAAAAACCAACCAACTGATGCCACGAATTTCTGTTTATCCACTTAATGTAAGATATTTATAATTGTATGGATGCTGTTGTACGTACAATATTAACATACTTCACATCGAGAGGCCGCACATCTACAGCAAGTAGTGGTTGGACAGTCGTCTTGTGGGGTTCGGTAACCGCAAATAGTATTGAACAGTACATCAGCTGACAGGCCGGTGTCTGACTCACTTCTTCAGCTTGACCCTGGTGATACCAGTGATATCCTCCAGTCGGATGGTGTAGTCGTGGATCCAGAGGGACACCACTATGATGTGGCAGGCCAGTTTGTCCAGCAGGCGCTCCGACCGGTCCCTGGTGACACACGCGGGCAGAGAACATGGAAAATGGGACGGAAGAAGACGAACTTTTGTCGAAAAAATACGAAAAACATTCCCTTCTGAGGGAGGACCGATAAACATACGAACATATTGCAAGTAACTTTTTCACCATACCGTTTTAGATGGGCAAAGCGACATAACAAATATTAGATCACGATATTTACAAAGATATAAAAGGTGACACAAAAAGGATTCTGCTCGTTATCCATGCATTTAGTTCGTGAGTTGGAGCTTGCCGCGTTCTCGGCGTAACTGAAAGCAGCCTGATTCTCATTTGATAACTGCCTCAGGGAACAGGAATTCGGCCACACATCGAGCATTTACCACAAAACTATTTCTCCGTCATGTACCGTGCGTTGCCGCACCACTCCCTTTTCCGTCACCCCGTCCTGTCCGCTCGACACAACACACTCACCATCCGTTGTGGGACCTCTCCATGAAGGCGTCTCGCAGGTGCTCCAGCACCGGCTCCGGAATCATCAGCCGCTTCCAGGACTTGGTGACGTACATGTCCTGCAGGTTGCGCAGCAGGCGCACCATGTAGAACAGGTACATGGTGAGAGTGAACTTATCTTCGTCAGAGTCCCTCCATTTCGCCGCTTGGGTCACCAGGTACTCGTCGGTTCTGTGGAGGGCGGGGAAGCGTAACGGCCAATGTGAAAGAGAGTGGTCACAGGCAGCACCGGCACTTACATATATGGGGCCAGTGGCTATGAGGGAGGAGGGCGTATATGGCAGGCACAGGCAAAACACGCTAAGAACATGATCCTGTACTGTAACTATGTAAGGATCTAGGTAGGATTACTAAATACCTAAAACGCTAAAAGGTACGGATCTGCGTTTTCCACCACCAGATATGTGGCTTAGCAAGAAGCCTGCATCCCCTTACAATCATACCATTGTATATCATATCACCCACCTGTCCAGTTTCTTCAGCGCTTCGTCAAACTTATCGGCCGTATTCTGCAGTCTTTTGTAGAGCCATCCGGGCACCACGTCCTCTCTGTTATAAACCTCGGACGGCTCTGTGGCTTCCAAGTTCTGCGGCGGCACCAGCCCCGTCTCCATCCGGCCGTCCGGAGCGGTCGGCGTTTCGTCTCCCTCCGCCGGCGGCTGGGCCGGTTTCACGTGGTCCATGGCCACCTCTAGCGACTGAGCCACCGATCGGGACCCGCTGCCCACGTCGAGCCGCGTGCTGCGCTGGTGCTGCTTCTGCCAGCGTGCCAGACCGAACGCCCGACCCACGTCTGTCCAGGTGTACTGGGGAGCCTCTTCACCCTCCGGCTCGGCCGCCGCGGGCTCCAGGGCCGGGGATAGGTGGAAGGACTGCAGCGGCACCAGGCGCGCCTTCCCTGCAGGCGGAGATGGGGATAGCTGGTCAGTGAAGCACGCAACACAGAGCCAGTGATGTGGTAATGACAGGTGGCGGCGATAATGGCGATGGCTGCCGTTTTTAAGCGGCAAAGCTGCCATAACCTCGCATGTTTGGAATAGCCACGTTGACAGCGGCAGAGTTTGTGCTAAGTTGATCTTTCCTTAGTGCAGGTCACAGGTCAACTGAATGCAGATTGCAGGTCGTGACCTCTACCGTCCGAACGCAAAATTCCGGTTGTCGGGATAATACATGCATGCAAAAATTTAGCGTTCCGAAATTGCTGGATATTTATGTACGCCAGACATCCCTATGAAGTCTGGATCATTACCAACTGACCTATGAAAAAACGGCATTCAATGTCAAAGGTGAGCAATGGGCATTTGTCACTGATAAGTGAGAAATAAAAGTCCGAGACAGCTACGAAAAACGCGTAGGGTGGGCGTAAAACATCTCTGCCCCGCACTGCTAACGATAATGGCGACCCACCTGTGGATTTACTGACTACGGCCAGCATCAGCTGCTCGGGCTGCGATTTGTTGACGTAACTCAGACGGTCAGTGTTGGCGGTCAGCAGCAGGGAGCCGTCCTCCGTGTTACGAAACGAGGCAAACTTGGCGCCCCCGGGCACGTTGTCGCTGCTGGCGAACGTGACTGAATGAGAGGGGAGGGTTAGTACAGCATGGTGAGTGGTGACAGCCACCTTTGTGCTACCTGTACTGACAGCGTAGGATGATACACATCTATACACGTACCAGCTATTTACTGTTCTCATCAATCATGTACCTACAATCTATGCACAATTTTTGTCAGTTTCAATGTATCTGTTGAGAGAAATATGTTAAGTTGTATCAACTAGCAAATAGCATTATGCACCATGGAGGTTTGATCATAGCTGACCCATAGTTCATCAATTTTTGCCCTAGCATCAATAGAAAGGCCTGGATCTATGCACAACAACCAGGTATTTGCAATACACTGACACCTTTTGGAGCAATAAATGAGTGAGCACTGCACAATCGTGAGCCATGCACCTGTGCCTGTGCGGCCTGAGACACCTGGACGACTTGGGCAAGCCAGCCTCCAGTCGATCCCCAAGAATGCACCAAATTTGATGGTTATGGATGCAGAGGTTCTTGTGATGTAGAAAGGTTCTCTGCACATTCATAAGTTTGACTGACACTTGTAAAATGATTCACATCTTTTAGTTAATTAAAAGATACATAAAGTAAAATATCTTTAGACAGACCACTCACCAAGTTTAGGTAAATTTGCCCTTGCTGAAACATCTGAATCTGCAACATCTTCAATCATTGCTCTCTTTATTGCTTTCATGTTGGTGCCTGCTTCCACACCTACTAATTATTAATTAACAATAATGGAAGTGTCCCTGAAAAAAGACAAGCAAACATTAGGAAAAGGTATATGAGCACATCTCAAATTGTTGTTCATATTATTAATTCAATGCTATCAGCATGGAAGCCTATGCTATGGGACACTCTTAAGTCTGACATCACATAATAAGGGTCTTGCATCACATCAGGCATCTTCTCTGACTTCACATGTCAATATCAGCTTCTTGACTGCACAGAACAACTCCTTAAGCACTTAAGATATTGTTAATTGGTCATTATCAAGGCTTTATAAACTGCTAGAGCTTTTCAGGTGAAAACCATGTAGGATTGCAGTGTAGCTTTAGTACTTTGTAGTAAATAATAAAACCAGCAACAGCCAACACGTCTCTAATGTTATGATCATAATGTCGATAACGCTATGACCATAACATCAAAAAACTCGAAAGAAAATATAATTCATCAATTTCAGGCTACAACCGAACTTTAACTGTGCAAATTTCGGTTGGAAGCTGGGAAGAGTCCAGACTGTAAAACATCCATATTCCATACACTACGCCAGGCAAGATGGTAGATACTGGTGAGACCTTCTTGAGACTATATTGACGCGAGGCCGCACAAGGAACCGGCAGAGTTGGCGAGCGCGGAGCGGGCGACCGAGGCCGAGGGTACTTGTTTTGCCAGGTTGTCAGATCTCTCATTCCCCTAAATCCAGCAGTGGGCAGGAGTTTTACCGAGCCCACTGCAGAAGTTGCTTCACAACACCTGACAATGTTCAACAAGGTCTTTCATACCTATCTCAGTGCCAAGGGTGGAGGCCTCACCTGAGCAGCTGCTCCTTCGCTGAGAACTTGGGACATCTCGCGATTAGGAGCACTCAACGGCAATAACCGGGGTGAGGGACATCTCGTCCCAAACCCTTTCCAGAGCCCCCCTCAGGGTGAATCTGCTGCTAGCTTGGCCAGCATGCCAAAAAAATGGTGGCCACCATTCAGCGAAAAATTATGCGGCCGCCCTGCCCTGAAAAATTAACCCGGCAGTTGCTGGGGTATTTCGCCACCCACCGTTTGCTGGGGGGGGCGTTAAACGCCCCCAGCCGATAACTCGAGAACCAATAGGCGCAGCGAAACGCACGAGGCGGCAAACGAAAGAACGCGACGAGACGCTTCAGACGAGTACTTTAAAGTTGAATTTTGAGGTCACAGGTCGGGTCAAGGTCAGGTCAAACACCTGAAATCGGGCTTTCAGTAGCATGGACTTCAGGACTTCGCAATGGGCGCCTCTTGTCAGAAACTCTGTCAAAACGGTGCACAATCCATCATATAAGGCCTACAAGAGTGTCAGTTTCATGTAGGGGTCAGTCAAGCATAGGTCAGGGTCAAGGTCAGGTCAACCGGGTAGGCACATATCCCCGAAAATCAAAACTGTTATTCGCAGCCTATGACACATGTTTTATGGGTAATTTGGGCCGTAGAACACGATGGTGACATTCATTTTATCATATGTGTACGTGTTTGGCTCAAAAAGTTCAATTTAAGAAATTCATGTATCATGGTCGTGAAGTAGTCACGAGAAATTGTCAAGATTCAGTTCAAGATTTTGGAAAATGCGGAACGACAATCAATAATCGAAGATAGCCATTTGATTGTTCATGGTATTGGCATTCTAATGGCGTTTACGGCATGTCTGTATGTCTATTCTGTGATTTTATGATTTTTTGAACATATGCTGTTTTTGGTCGAAAGCTGAGAAATCATGACGTCACTAAAACCTCGATATCTCAAAAATTTTCCGACCGATTTTTTTGAAACTATGTCACAATAAACTTCAATCAATTCCCTACAGGTACCCAAAATTTGGCGCGCCATTTTTATGCTATGGCCCGGCGAAAAAAGTGGGGGCGTTTAACGCCCCCCCCCCCGGCAACTCGCGGGTTAAGCTGCCGCCATGCGCTGAATTCAGCACATCAACATGGGATGTTACGCCGGACGTGCGCAGAACTTTTTGGCAAAATGCCACAACTACGCTGGACGTAATATTCCGCACAACGTGCAGGTATTTTTTCCAGTCTGGGGAAGTGTCAAATGGCTAGCACACATTTTTCCCTGAGGCAGCCACACAGGTAAAGGTTGTGTAAGTTAGAAAGCCAACAACATGTCCAAACCATAAAGCTATATACGGCCTTGCCGTAAAGCTTGACAATTCTAAGAGGGCTCCGAGGGCCCAGGCTCAGCGCACCTGCGGAACGTGAGAGCACGCACTCACGCACTTGCTGGTGCACGTGTTTTTATTGCAAAGTAACAAAAATATAACCAGTGTTTTATTAGATATGCAATGAACCGCTAACAAACCCATCGTTTTTCATGCGCAAGAATTTTTGAGTAAATGTTTTGAAATTCGGCCAAAAATTGAGAAAAAAACTTAAAATTCACGTATTTAAGTATGTTTCGCTCTTTTCAATGTTATGAACATGTGGCAAAAAATGAAAATATTTACTTTACTGCACGAGCAGATCTGCACTAGCAGTAGCTTTTCACACTGAACATAAAGTTGAATGTATTGGCTGCGTCAGAAAGACTCAGAAAAATTGCTACCAGATTAATACCAAATAAAGAAATCTTTGCATTACTTTGGCGTTACTCAGGCTCTGAAGGGTCATGGTCAGGAGCGGGTGTCACTCATGAAACTGGATGAAACTCCTCAAGAAGGCTAATTATGAATTAAGTAACTAAGCCATTTCGATTTGGGCATACGAATCTGGGACGCCGGTGAAAACAGGGCGCCGGAGGGCATATAAGTCACGTGACATTTGGAGCTTCTCCCCCTCTGTTGGCCTTCTACCTGCTAAACGTCACGTGTGAATTTCCCGAACCTTGATCAAATCGCCGCAGGCGCCCTTTTCACCGTCGTCCCGAATCTGCTGCTGAGAAACTTAATTTTACATTTTCGGTAAGTCCAGTGACTATTCTTTTTTTACGGTTGGTGATGGTTTCAGCATTGAAAACGTGTTTTGCCTTTTGCCGCATCTTGATCTTTAATAATAAATTGTGCATGTCATTAATCTTGATATGATATGGAACGTATTGATTTACTGATAATCTGCCAATGTTGATCATGCAATCTTGTGGTTTTCACTCATCTACAGGGTGTCTCAAAAGTTCGCTTACAGGTACCAGCCATTCTTTTTTGCCAATAATTCTGAATCAACAAGAAATTAAAAGTTGAAATTTCGCATGGGCATTGGTGACAACCTTCCTCAAGCAGTCTCATTGTTTTCAAGTGCATTCGACCCTTCATGAGCTCACAAAAAGGGTTCACCTCTGACCATGGGTCAGGCACGAAAATTTAGGTTGCAAAGTCGGGTATGTTGTGAAACTCTCTGTTTCAGGAGTAATGGGAATGGTTAAGTCGGAAATGACACATGGCTAAGTGTCGGCGAGGATGAGTGCAACATGATGATCATCTCATAAAAACGGTGGCTAAAATTTTTGAAGGACGAAACCATGCGAGACTAACGGCGTTTTGAACGACCCTCGCACGACAGCGGACTCGTGTTCCGGAAAGCAGCTGAAAATGCGGTCATAACTATTGAAAACTGGCAAGAAGCTCACAGACAGAGGTTACCCATTTTCAAAAAGTGCAGTTCATCGTAAAATAAAGGCAAATTATAATTTAAAATTGTTTATAATATCTATAACGCTAATTTTTGGGGACAATAACACAAAAATTGTCAATGCCAAGGACACCTGACCCTCCAAAAGTGTCAGTTATTGTAAAATTTTTTCTAACGAAGTTTCAAGAGGCAGATCTGCAGCCAATAATTTTCTTTTAAACACAAAATCCCGATAAAACCACACGATGGACAGGTTTGGGCCGTTTACAAAGCAGAACCTCTCCCGAGGAAAACACTCCGCAACCGAGCGAAGGTCTTGGCATGGGGAATGACGAGCGCTTGGAATTTGCAAAATTTGCACAATGTGTCTGAGAAACAGACGTCCGACACATTCTGCTACCATATGATGCGAAAAATTTACTCCTGGTACTTCCCGTTTGTTCAGGACTGGGGTCGTTTTGAAAAGGAAAATGGCGCTTGGGATGTTGGCGCCAGTCATTCATGAAGGAGTTAGCGCCAGAGAATGCCTACAAAATACTCATGAATGGTGTCGATGCAAGCTGTCGGCTTTCAGGGAAAATCAGATGTTGCCGGGGAGCTAGTCAAAACTAAATCCGACGCAGAAACTGCAGGGGATTTCCCTGCAAGAGCTTGAAAGCTGGTAACCTTTTATCAGCCTCCGGCAGCTGACGGAGCAACAAAAATCGGTATGGGCAAATATTTTTGGAGATACAACAAAGGGGTTGGTTTCTAACCTTCTTAATCAGTTGTCAAAGCATGCATATTTGTCTAGTGTACACACAGACACCAAAACCTTATGCTTTTGGCCGGTTCTTATATGCTTTATTGGCATGGGAAATGTGTAAGCGAACTTTTGAGACACCCTGTAGTATGTCGATCAATGTGCAATGTATTATGTGACCCAGGTCCCAGGGCAAGTCAACTCACCTGTTTGGGGTTCCCTTGGTCTGAGCCAAGATTCTTATAGATAGATAGATAGATAGATAGATAGCTCAGACCATCTTGGGTCTGAGGGTCTGAGAGTAGCCAAAATGAATGCAGGGATGGGGAGAAGGGAAGGAACCCGCATAGAAAGAGCTCGCCCGATGGATGAGAACACATCCAAAAGGGAAAGTGAGCCCACAAGTGCCAAATGAATGAGTTTACAAGAGTGACAAGATACAAACAGCAACATTATAATCGGAACACAGTTAAAGCAAGGCGGTGTTTCAGGTCCACTGCTAGCACACTGCCAGTGCCAGTGTATTTTGCAAGACGATGTGATGTCACACTTGGGTAATTCTGATGCATGATTGTCACAATATTGAGTGACATCCTCAGTTAAGTTGTTAAGGTTGACACCAGATTGACCAGAATGTCCTCAACAGCATCAAATTTTACTTTTAAGCTGATGACGTTGCTCTATATAGTATATTCCGACAATAATGCACCAGAATTTGCCCAGTCCTGACGTCAGCTCACATAATCTGCTGGCAGTACGCTAGCAGCAGCCGTGAAACACCACCCAAGGCCCAGACCAAGACTAGGTAGCCCTTTCTGCATGTCAAATGATGTTCAAACTGTGTGCGTGACCTTACCTTACCTTACCTTATCTTAGGGTAAACGGGTTGTGGGAGGCCAATTTGGCCTGTGGGGCCCGGTGTCAGTGAGCTCCCAGTGCTTATGGACAGCTAGCCTCAGGTTGGGTAAGATTGGCTTCAGGTGGGAAGGCTTTGCATGATGTCAGCTCAGCGGGTGGGCATCCAGCCTGGTCACCAGCTCACCTCTGGGAATTATCTATGCTAACTACATTCATTTCAAAGATATTTGCCTTGTTACTCTAATTTTTTCTCTAGCTAGTGAGGATATGCAAAATAAGCTATAGGTAATTGTACATGGAAAGGTTTACTTGAGACTTTCACCTTAGTCATGACCAAAATGCTCATATTGCATATCAATAGATCTGTATTGATGATCTGAACACTACCAGGCTTTCATTGTTAGTTTTTCTTCCATGTATGTATCAAATTTTATCACTTATTATCTGATGTTGATCTTTTATGATTTAAGATGATCTTTTGACTTTTGAGTGACTGCTGCCCATCAGATGCTCCCTGTCCATTGCATATGGGTAGAGTTGTCATGTGTCTAAAAAAATAGCTGATGGTTTTTGCATACTTGTTTAATGCACCATGCATTGATATTTTATCATTGTTTTTAATAGATAGGCCATAAATATGACCTGACCCTAGATCAGATAAAGAAAAATCAGACTCAGAGATTTACAAATAATCAGTACTGATATCCTCAAGCAATACACCAAGTTTCAAGAAAAAAATCAGACTCAGATTTACAAATAATCAGTACTGATATCCTGAAGCAATACACCAAGTTTCAACCGTTTAGGTGATAAGCTGTAGGAATGACAGGATCACAAAGTTTTTTAAAGCATAGTTATTCAATTTGAACAGGTGACCGGACCTCAGGTGACCTGGGGTGTTTGTTTTCAAAACAATGCAATGTTGATGCATGACAAGGTTTAGGTACCAATTTTTAAACAGTTTTCACCCCCTAAAGGCCCAATAAACAAGTTTTCTTAACACTTAAACAACTGGCTTGTGTGGCTGAAAACGCCTTCCCCCACCACCTGGACAAAGCTGCCACGCAAAGGCAAAAACTACTATGTGAGGTCATTCAGACACTGACCTCACATAGTAGTTTTTGCCTTTGCATGGTAAAGGTAATCACCACAAAGTATATTATCCATATAATACAATTGTGATTCTTAACGTCCTGTCTTATTTTCAGAAAAGATTTTGAATGATGGCCCAGCCAGGCTGGAAGAAGACAAGGAGAAGGCGGCTGTCATCTTTGGTGATACTTCCTTTAGAATATGCCACCTTGAATTTTCTTCAAGGTAAGAGTCTGCTGCTTGCCTGAAAGGTTTCTTTATCAGCTGCAAATGGTTCTTCTTTGAAAATCATGCATGCATCTTGCACCAAGCATTGTTCAACCAATATATTTCACTTACAAACCTGTAACTTTTACATGTAAAGAACAATGCCTGCCTATGATTTGCTAACCCCAAGTGGCCGCATAAGTGGTCTAGTTCTGACCCAGTCCCCACATTTCCCGACCTGCTACTCAGATTGGTAAGGTCCCTGAGGTCCGTATAGGCGTAGGTATAAATGGACTTTCGCACGACGTGCAGTCTTGTTGGTACATCGTAAACCTATACTGAGGGTCTGGGCACAGATTCAGCCAAGGGCCAAATTTGGGCCGTAATATGATGTCCGGGATCTTTTTCTTTTTCTAGAAGTTACTTGAAATATCTGTCGGCTTTTCCGTCCGATTTATTCGCATCCGTGTATACCATCTTGACCTGGCCATCACATCAGCTATGCTTGTGCATGTCTGCTGTATACGGAAACATCGTTTTGTTTCTGTCCGTATAGGTATTTTTAGGTTTGACAGACTACAATGATAATGCATGATATGTCTGTACTCTGTACTCATTATTTCTTTCATGACGTATATTACTGTATTCAGGAGATGAGGATGGCTCACTATCAAAAACGCCGGTGTCTTCGGGACTGCAGAGCCTCTGGGATAAGCTTTTCTCAGCTGATAGCTCCAAACAACAGTTGGCCTGCTTGAAAGAGGTGAGTCTAAGGTTTCGTCTTTGGCTGTCACATGTTAACTACCAAAGAGACACTTTCACATTGCCTACTAGTTACTGTCTCGATCCGCAAAAACTGTATCAATGTCACGTCTAAAGCAGCTAGTTTCATGTGCTGTATACCTAGTTGAACACTTTTCCCATTTTCGTACATCCAGATAAACAAGTATGTTCTCCAAGATGACACAGTTCTGAGCGAAGGCGAGCGAGACGCCCTTCAAAAGGCACTGGCATGGCTCCTGCTCAACCCCGACTCCTCGCAACAAGTGCGCAGTGTCATCATCAAGTAAGTCGCAAGTCGCAACTCCTACAATGTTTGCGTTGAATGGGTGTAACATATGAGGAGAAGGTCCGGACGTCCATGGTAATGTGATCCAGATTCAGATTTGCAGACAAGTCGAACCGTTTTCCCCGAATCATCCATGTTTCAGACAACTTCAGTATGTCTCCTGATCAATTCAGCCTCCAAGCAGCCGTATCTCAAGTCCACTGTTGCGTCTGCTTCGTTGTTATATATCTCTCCAGCGCCTGTTCCCCGGCTGAGTGTTCGTGTGTGTCCTGTCAGGATCCAGGCGTCTCTGGGCGACCAATGCCCACCCCTGGAGGCCGGGCTGCGCGCTCAGCTGGCGGCGCCGGCGCCCGCCACGCCGGCCACCCTGCAGCTGCTGGAGTTCCTCTCCGACCACCCGCTCGGCCGCCGCCTGCTGCTGGACAGCCTGCCGCAGCTGATGCTCTTCTTCAAGGAGGAGCTCGGCTTCCACTGCCAGACCATGTGGTGAGCTGGGGATGTGGACGTGCGGGCGGGTATGAGAGTGCATCGTGCTACTCAAGGAAGTTATTCGAATGAAGAGTCCAGGATGGCCTGGGAGCTCCTAAGGTCACTCGTAAGAAGGCGATTGTTAGTCTTGGTCGCATATCTCTTGTGATTCGAGCTGGCACAGTGAACGCCTTTATTGCCGTCATTACGCGTACAGAAGTGTCATCTGTCCCAAATCGCCTCCTGTAATGTCGTGTGTAGGTGTAGGACGCCCGTGCCAGCCCGCTGTCGTGCTATTTTTAACGTGTAAGGTACGAGGGACCCTGACTCCCCGTTGTGTTTCAGCGCCATGGTGTCTCCGGTGGAGCTGGCTGCGGCCGCCGGTCCCGGGCAGCGGGCCGTCCGACTGCTGATGGTCACCCTTCAGGTCAGTGTGGATGAACAGAAGACAGAGAACGTGGCTAGACCATGGGTGTAAACCAATGACGATCCTAGTCACTCGTTCTCATGGTCTTCACGTCCTTAGTTGGTGTGCCCTTCACGAATCCAGCATCCCCTTCTCCGTCTCTTAACAGCTTCGATGTCCTTAGACCGTGTTTGACACCCTCGGCGTTTATGGTTTCCGCACTGCAACCTCAATGCCCCGACTGTACTGCCACCGCGGCGCCCCCACCCAGTTCCTTACGGCTCTGACGCCCTTTTCTCTCTGTACCAGCTAAGCCGCTGTTCCGTCCGTTTAGCCCCAGTATGCCTAGTCCCCACGGCAGCTCTCTACTCTGTTATCACCTTTGTTCTATACCTATCTCACAGGTTCTACAGCCACTGTCGCCCGAGTACGATCTGGAGACGGTGCGGGCGGCGCGCGACTCACTGGAGCGGCTCCTCACGCTGCCGGCGCTGCCCTGGGACCTACGAGGCAACTGCGGCATGGCCTACGTACTGCTCTGTCTGGCCGGGGGCGACAGAGATTTACACGCCACGGTACGGGGGCGGGGGTAAGGGACAGGGAGCCGCCACGCGAGCCGCCATGGTAAATGTCTTCTAGCGATATATTTGACTCACTGACTCTTACTCATTTTTTTCACCTGGGGAAATGTTTAGGCCTTAGGGTGACCTGCGGGGACGAAGGAGCCGCGCTTCGTTCTTTTAACCCGGCAGGCGGTGGGCCTACCAGCCACCTTCCACGCGGTGGGGGGGGGGGGGGCACTTTTTTGCCCCCCCCCCGTATCTCCGAAACTACTGGACGGATCCGGAAAATTCAAACGGCGTTCGATAGCCCTGTCAAATTTGTTGAAGGAAACCAAATTTCATTGACCTCGGGGTCACCGATGACGTCACAGGTCAGGTCAAAGATAAAATGTTTCACCGTTCACAGGGCTTATCTAGGGAAAGCGCTATAACACCGAGTAAAACGCATTTTGTCGAAAATCAGCGATAAGGCGTCAGTTGTCTAGTACATATGTTGCTATTAGAGGTCACTGGTCATACCAGGTCAGGTCACAGGTCAGGTCACCAAAGGTCACCACATGAGCCCAACTTTACTAAGGTTATGTGATGCATGTTTTATGGCCAGTTTTTCATTTCCAACTCAATGGTGTTGGTTATAAGACTATCAGGTACGGTTTAGGTCACTTTCTGGTGGAGGTCAGGTCAAGGTCAGGTCAAAAAGGTCAAATTTCAAAGTTGATGTTTTTGCATAAAATGGGTATCGATTCGATGCAGCTCGTCACGGGGAGTCTAATGGTGGTCTTTGTTTTACGCTACGAGGTCTAGAATTGCTAAAAATTGAGTTTGAAAATTTGACGTCATCAATTTTGAAGTTTTTTCGCTATAACTTGGCCAAAAACGAGGTATCGATCTCAAATTTGATATGTAGATAGAAAGCGGTAGGGACTATCACATATATTCCGGGTTTTTCGAAATTCAAAAAACTTTTTGGATTTTTTGGCTATTATATTCAAAAAATCTATTTTTGATTTTTGGGGGCCAGAATCCAAAAAATTCGAAAAACTGAAATAGCAGTTTTGTAGCCCTTTTGATTCCACACCTTTTATGTCTAAAACATTTTTCTGTATCTCTAAAGCTGTAGGCCTGACAGCTCTTCCCGCGAAACCTTTTTTTGGGTCGAAAATGGCAAAAATGACGTCACTCTTACGTCATTAGCGGCCAACCTATCATAGCCTTTGGAAAATGTTTTGGTCACCATGTGCGCTAGCTGCTCCCGGGAGGGTACTGAAAGTTTGGTGACGATCGGCGCAGCGGTTCTCGAGATATATCGAAAAAAGTAAAGGGGGGGGGGCAAAAAAATGCCCCCCCCCACCGCCTGGAAGGTTAAACATCGTGCGATAAAACGGACAGCGTCTGTCCTTCCGTACTTTTCTAGACAATTTGCTGTTGTACATGACTATCCCAGGTGCTAATCCGTCCTCTAACCGTCCGCGCTAATCTGTCCTCTCTAACCATCATCAGACACTGACCGCTCTCCGCCCGTGCCCAGGTTCTGAACGCGGCGTTTCCGTCTGCGGAGCTGTGCGGCTCTGACGCCGGCCCGGTGCCGCTGGCCGATTGGCCGCTGGCTGCCCAGCTGGCACTGCTGGCCGGCTGCGTGCACGCGCTGCCCTCTGACCAGCTGCTGCTGCCCGCCGGCGGCGGCGGGGCGCTGCTCAGCCTGCTGCTCGGCTGGCTCCTGCACACTGGCATGAGGTTCGTCACAAGGAGTGCAGTGGGAGTACGTTACAAGTTAACGGGAAATGGTGAAAGACATTATCGACCGATGGGAGTTGGAAATTTGAATTCGAGTTTGCTGTCATTTTATACCTATCTTGAGCTATTTGTTTTGATGCTGTCACATACACACACGAAACAAATAACAATGGTAATTCATGATTTTCAATGACCGTGACCCTGCCTTGTGCCTGCAGGTGTCAGATAGTAGCCGTCTGTCTCTGTGTCAATATCCCCCCGTCCCCGCTGTTTGCCCCCCAGTGTCTCGGTGTCAATATCCCCCCGTCCCCGCTGTTTGCCCCCCAGTGTCTCGGACACGGCCACCCTACTCGGTTTCTCCCGCGGCGTGCTGTCCGCCCTGGGCCGCGTCACCGAGGCGTGCCGCGGCGCGCTGGCCTCCCCCGGCCCACCGGACCCCTCGGCACCTCTCCCGGGGCCGTCCTCGGCCTCTGTCGAGCTCTCCTCAGCCGTGGGCGACTCTCCGTCGGGCACGGACGCGTCGCCCACCTTCCCGGACCTGACGCCGGACGGTCCGGCCGACCCGCCGGACGGTCCGGTCGGCTCGCCCGCCTCGCTGGCCTCACTGCTGCCCGAGGTGCTGGTCGAGGACCTGCTGCAGTTTGTGTGGCGACTGATGGCCGATGACGCCCAGTCGGTGCGGAGTGTCGCTGGGGATATGCTCTCTGCGCTGGTGGCGCTGTTTGCAGGTCAGTCGCTTATCCAACTATAAATAGCGGTCATTATAGATGCTCAGCTGCATCCAGTCAGCGGCGAGGGGCTTTCCCGTTACCTGATGCGGACATTAGTTATCCTACCGCGCTTTGCTATTTATTTTTATCCCTGAACGATAATAGTACTTAGAAGAGGTTAATGAATGTTTTCATTCATGATTTATTTTCTCCCTCTCGGAAATACAATGCTTAGAAGCTTATCAATGGGCTTATGTTTTGCTTAGAAAGCCAGCTTAGCTGACTCATTATTTTGTTATTATTTTGATTACATTTTTATTCTTTTTTATTACTTTTTAGTTACATATTGATTTTTTGCATTTATATTTTTATTTTTATTGCTTTTTATTAACATTTTATTTATTTTGATAACATTTTTTAGCTGTTCCCTCGCTGTTACTAATTCTTACATCAACCACGTCAGGTTTTGCTCATCACTCACGACTTTGTTGCGGCCTAGGGGCGCGTCGACAGTAGGTCATTATACGCCCAACCGTGATCATAGGTGACCAGTGACCACCTACCACTGAACACTTACCACAGACTATAGACCACTGACCAATCATCTCAGACCGCCGGCCGGACGGACCGCAGACTGACCGCTGAGCGCTAACCTGACCTCCCTGTCTCTCAGGGTTCCCGGACGGCCCGTTTCTGCGTGAGCTGACCACCAGCGTGCTGGCGCTGCCGCTGCACCTGCGCCGCCGGTGCCGCGCGCTCCGCTGCCTCCTGCTGGCGCTGGGCGTCACCCGGCTGCTGGCCGCCTGTCCGGCGCTGCCCAGACAACTGGTGGGCGTCATCGGCGACCCGGCCGTCAGCACGCACGTGAGTTGACGGGGGGTGGGGGGGGCGCCTTCAAAGTTTGAGGCTCAGCCTCATAAGGCGCTGGTTATGGGCTGAGGTCTCAATGGTTTACCTTTGCTCACCTTTCGACAATTTGTGGTGCTTATTTTGACAGGCAGCCACAACATTAGTGTATTTTGAACATGTGAAGTTGATTTTGGGCTGAATGAATACAACAGAAATAGTGAACATTGCTCGTGAAATATTTTACTTCCTTCTAAGAAATAAGTCAAGCCGATGGTGCTGTGATCCCAACAGCCCTTTGTAGCGGTTCGAAACTTACAGTTATATTAGCATCTTTGGTTGAGTCACCAATGTCAAGAAGATAAGACAGCACCATAGCAGGCAGCAAATTCAGATGCATGCCTCGCCTTTTCTAATTTTACTGTTCTTACGCAAAGTAGCTTTCAGTAGTCCTAATGTTCAGCGTTTAGGTAAAGGAATCGGCCTGCTCTAATTTATTTAACTAAAAAGATAAGCACATCCATCACCACGTTCTTTTTATGGCGCACCAAAGCACTCAGCGTATTTTCTACTTGAATTGAATTTTGGTGGCCTTCGCCACCAGGATCTAAGTTACGGACTCAGGTTCCGCAGTCTGTCCTCCACGGCTGCCTGCATCCATTTGGGACTCAACTGTAAGTGGAGAATAGGAGTATTTGCAGCTAGCGATTAAATAAACAAATAAAGGAACAGCAAGTGGAGTGGTCCGTGTAAGGATGACTAACGCTTCTTTAGCTGTTTCTTTTGCTTTTGTGCTTACATAGTAGGTATGCAGTCTACTCATGTTTTTGTTGTCACTTGTGTGTGAGTTATATGACTACATTAATCATCTTTTTGTGTAGACACTTGCTCTTTTTCTTCACTGGTTGTACCTGGTGAGTGGTCTGTAAGCATTGAGGTGACGCCGGAGAAATTAAAGTAATGCTTTGTTTTCTTATTACGATGCATTTGTTGGGGCCTATGTTTCAATTTTTGACTAACTTTAGAGCATAGTTGTATGCTTTACCACTCGCACGATACGGTTGTTTAGTTTTTGTGTTCCATGTTGTCTCCAGCGTTTTCGTTGTACCGTTTCTGGCCAGCTCTGCCGCCCTGTGAGAGGCGCTCAGTCTCTGACCGGCGCGCCCTCCCCGCGTGTCGCAGGCGGTGGAGCTGTACTGCGTGCTGCTCTCGGAGCACCGGCGCGCCGCCGACCCCGACACCTGGCTCTCGGTGTGGGTGGAGCCACTATTCGAGTCGGACGCCGTGCCGCCACCGGCGCTGGCCCAGATCACCGGACGGATCGCCCAGCTGGCGCCCGGCTCGGCGGCCTACGTGACCCAGCGGGTGGCCTGTCGGCGCCGGCTGCCGCGCCACCTGTGGCTGGTGCTGCTCACCGCCGTCCAGGCCGCGCACAGACAGGGAGCGGCGGCGGAGAACTGGAGGGACGCGCTGCCGGTCGCCCGGCTCCGAGAGGCGCTGCAGCACAGAGATGATCAGGTGGGCATCGGGGAATGGGAACGGGATGGATGCATAGGTGATTCATGGAGTGAAATAGGAAGAGGGTGTATGGTCAGGGCTGTGGAGTTGATGGATTTTCAGCGACTCCGACTCCGACTCTGGACAGAACTATCGACTCCGACCGACTCCAACTCCGACTCCGACTCCGTAGCCCTGCCATGCCTGTGGAGTCGATGGATTTTTCGGTGACTTCGACTCCGACTCCGTTTCCGGTTTCCAAAATCGACTCCGACTCCGTTCAGAATTGTCGACTCCGACCGACTCCGACTCCGACTCTGCAGCCCTGTGTATAGTAATTGGAAAGAGGTAAAAGTTTGATTGGAATAGGTTTTAGACAGTGCTTAATTGGTATTTCCACTTGAGAGCATATAATTAGTCGCATATTACCGCGGTGCGCAGCCGGCTGAGGTCGACAGTGCATTCACCTGTGAGCCAAGTGAGTTCTAGAAACGCCTACTCCTTGAGCGCTGTTAGTGTGTGCGACCAGCCTTTGCTGCAGTATAACCTGTCTAGTGTCCGGTGCTACCGTTTGACTAATGCTCTGACCGCACTGCTCTTCAGGTGCGGATCGCAGCCCTCACCGTACTCGCCGACAGCAAGAAGACCTCCGAGCTGTTCGAGCCCGTCGAGTTGCGGCTCATCGTGCGCTTCGTGGCCGCTAATTTGGCCAATCAGACGCCGGCGTTTCGCCAGCAGCTGCTAGCGCTCATGAAAAAGGTCTGTGGGCTCTACCCGGCTGAGAGGGCGTCTCTGGGAATGGAGCTTAGCGGCTATTGGCTACACAATATTCAAGGAATAGGAATATGTGTTTGACTGAGTCAGGCAGAGTAGGCATGAGGAGGCTTCCCACCTGCTCTCAGACTGTATTAGCCGTAAAATGCGGCTTGTGAACTGCCGATGGGGCTATTATCGGCGAGAGAGGCTCCGGAACAGCTAGAGGTATTCTCTGAATAACTTATGCTCGGGATCATAAGTGTCATGTTGGGGAACTATTAGTCGCTACTTTTATCATGAGATTAGCCTTTGGAGAGTTATAGCGCCATTTCTTTGGTCTGGGCTGCCACCCACTCTTTCCTTAGTGGAAAAACTCTTGCGCTTAACTTATAAGTTTTTATTATTATGATTATATTTATAATTGTTTTGTTTATTTAGGTTTTGTACCGAGGTTTGAGAATTTAAGTAGAGCTTATCCCACCTTGTAATTGCTCAATATGGCTGCGTGGCTGGGTATGTATGCCTTTATACGTCTTTAAGTATATACAGTAGATAATAAAGTACAGCTTACCCCAGCCTGTGACCGCTCTGCTCGGCAGGGCCCGCGCTCGTTGTGGAGTATTCTCCTGCCGACGTGTTCTGACTCTCGTCCTGTGCCGCCGGCAGATTCTGGTGCGTCTCTCGGACGGCACGGCGGCATTACTGAGGCAGGTGGGCGGCGCCGAACGGCGAGCCTCCATCGGGGCCGCCTCGCCCGCCCCCGCCACCCCCGCTGAGCCTTCAGAGGGTCCCACCGCGCCCCCTGCGGCCGCCGTGTCGCCCACCTCACCGACCTCCGGCGGGCCGGCGGCGGCTCCCACTGAACTACCGGCCCTGGAGCGGCTGCAGCACTACCAGTCCTGCCTGCGGCGTCTGTTCAAACTGCCCTTCATGGGTCTGTTCCCCGGAGCCAACTTCCCGCGGCGCACGACCTGTCTTCACCTACTGACCCTGGTGGATGAGCTGTTCGGCGGACATGACAGGTCAGGACGCTGTTCGACAAGGATATTTGTCTCTTGCGACTCTTTCACCGCCCTCAAATAATCAGGCAATGTCATCCTTTGGCAATGAGCGCCGAAATGGCCAGCGATGGTTGAAAAAAAAAACAGGCACTACTTTGTGTCCATGAAACAAATTTGTTTGCAAGGTATTATTATGTGTTGTCACAGCGACTCTCGGATTTGTTAACATTCGCAGACCTATGTTGCCACTTATTCAGATGCACGACATTGACGAACGTTTAGTGAAACGACTCTGCAAAGGCTGATATTTGGTTAACGATATCTCCCAGCGAGTGAATGATTTGCTAGTCGTATGTTAATTCCTGTCGGCTAGACTCGCCCCATGCCCCGCGCACCCCTGCCATCCCCTTGCAGACCGGTGATGACCACCGCCGGCTGGTGGGGACCTGACCAGCTGTTCACCCTCCTCTACTGCCTCACCGACTGCTACGAGAACAACAAGGAGCTGGCGCTGCAGCTGCTCTGCTCCCACGACCTCACCGTGCTGAACCTTCAGGTGAGTGACGGCCGTCCGCTATGGCGGGCTGCTAGACGTAATCGGGAGGTGTTTCAACTTGACCGTCTTTCTTTCATGGAGGGCGTTTCTCGAATATATGCTTGTATTGATATATGATAGCGAACCTTGAATTGTCTTCGGGTATAACGGTCTCAGTGAAATAAAATCAAATGCGCTGCCAAGCTAAACCTTAGCAAAGAGTGAACGCGTAATGACGAGACTGTAGGACGTTTTATGTGCGCAAAATGATAAGCAAATAGCAATGTGCGCGCCTTGAAAAGCAGGTTTCAGTCATAAGCAATCGTTTCGATGATAAGCGATTGAACGTACCAATGCACATGTAGTAGGCGTCACCTCCAACAAAGCCATCCCTGTTGTTTTGTTAACCCCTCTGACCGCCCGTCCTACTTCTCTGTTCCGCAGCCGGAGGACCTGGACGGCCTGCTCAGCTCGGCCCTCTCTCTGGCCAGTAGCGCCCGCCCGCCAGACTCCCAGACCGCCGCCTACCTGCTGAGGGCGTTCGTACGTCTGCCGGGAGCAGCCGACGCCCTGAGGCGGAAACTGGCCGAGCAGCAGAGGGAGTCGCCGCGGAGGTGAGGGAGAGAGGGTGAAAGGGAGAGAGGGAAGGAGCTGTGGCTGCTGCTTGACCACAGACGAGGGCTCGTTCACGTGTCAATATTATTATAATGGAAGTGATATGTTCAATAACCATTTAACCGCAGCAGGTTTCTTTCATAGACATGTGTGCGATATTTGATGAAAAGAACCGTAACCAAGAAATTCAATGCTTTTGTCGCGATGTTCATTCGAAACGATGTCATCACCGACCTCTGCTTAAACGTAATAATTATCTTTTCCTGCCGACAGAGACTCACAAAGTGACTCCATCATCTGCCCGGAGCGATCAAATTCGATCAGCTCGACTGATGAGAAGGAAGTCACCAACCCTGCAGCTAACACCACTCCGGCGAGCACCGATGCTGGCGAAACTCTAGCTTCGAACAGCGAGACGGTGGCGCCTGCCGAGCCTGAAGCGCCTGCCGAGCCTGAGCCGGCTGATGCTGCTGTCCGGTCAGACAGCGAACCACGAGACGCACCCAGCTCTGGAGAAGCGGGCGCTGACGACCCGGCCCGGCTGCTGCTGCGGCTGCTGCTGAGCCGGCTGGAGTCGGAGCTGGCGCTGGCCGAGTCAGCGCTGACTGCAGCAGCAGCCACGGCGCCCATGCACGGCCTGCTGTTGTGTGTGAGACTGCTGCTGACGGCGGAACAGGGGGCCGGCGCCAACGGAACGTGAGTCGGAACGGTGAACAGTGAGCGAGCCAAGTCGCACAGGACGCTTAGCCGTGACTAGCTATTATTGAAAAAAGGAAACTGCTTAACGTCTTTGTTTGAATGAAGTATGATACCTCAGTGGTGCTGTGGTTTCTCCCGGCGTTTGCTGGTTCGTTTTACACAAAGTCAAAATTTTACACAAAGTATTACCTGAATCTGTGCCCATCGTACGATGCTCGTTGATTTCACCCACAGCCATCTGTCCTTCTGTGTAACCTGGCTTTGCCACTGACCGTCGCTCTCCATCACCAGGTCTGTACCGAGCTGGCGCGGTCTTGGCGGCCGGCTGGTGTCGCTCTGCCGGCGCGCCTCGGCCGTCGTCCTACCCGTCGTCAGCAGCTCCTCTCCCGAGGGACACCTGCCCATGGACCTGCAGTCGGAGGTCGTACTGAAGGTGGACGTGGCACTGAGTCGCGCGCTGGCACCGGCACCCGTGCCCGCCGAGCCGGGCAAGACACGTGCGGTTACCTCGCAGATGCTGCTGGTCTGCTGCTGGCGCACGATGAAGGAGGTGGGTGAGGCGTGTCTGCCGCTGCTTCCTCGGCGACTTTGACGTTGCGGGTGGCTTTGGAGTGTGGAGGCTCTTTAACTTATGCCCTCGGCAACGACTATCTTTTGTCCTTAACATAGTAACTTGGGCCGATGCTTTAGTTACGGAGCGAGCGAAGCGAGCGTAGTCTTTCCTTAGATTAACGGAAATTTCTGAGTATGAGCGGCCGGCCGTGCGGACGCTTTTGGGAGGCTTATATCTCAGCAACCATTTGACCGATTTACATGCGGTAATTTTTGTAGGGTAGCTTCATTCCTTCTACCAAGTATTGGACTATTCCCGATCATGTGGGTGACCCCTTATGCACGTGACACGTGCAAAACGAAGAGGTGTCAGTTTTGTAATAGTTGCAATATCTCGGTAACTACTGGGCCGATTGCGCTGAAAATTGGCATGTAGGTAGGCACCCACTAGGCAATGCATATCCATGTGCCAGAGTTGGGGTGCTGCTGCACGTGCGCACGTGCAGGGGTCGATTCCAGATCTCGAGAACGGCTAGACCGATTGCGCTCAAATTTGGTACGCGGTTAGGGACCGGTTAGTAGGGTGCCGTGCAAAAGTCAGCTGGGACCTATTTTGCGCGTGCACACGTGCAGGGTGCCGCTTCCAGATCTCGAGAACGGCTGGGCCGATTGTGCTCAAATTTGGCACATCGCTAGAGACCGGTTAGTAGGGTGCAGTGCACAAGTCAGTTGGAGGCACCCCCTCGAAATTTCGCACGTGCAAAGCTTACCCTCTCGCTCGCTCCGTTAGTCGCCCCAAAAGGCGTTATACTGGTTTATATGATAATGTAACACCCGAAGGGTATTTGGCACTCATACATTTAACTGTCGATCGAAACAGCATACTTTGTGCATGGCCTGTAGCCTGTGGCTGGTCAGTGCTTCTCTATGCCGTAATGTAAGATTGGCCACTACCCCCTCGTGACCGGGTATCTCCGTTCCCTGCCCTGACTTGTTATCTCCGTCTTCCTACCCACGCTGTGTCTGCTTCTGGGCGACGTAGGTCAGCGTATGCCGGTCTTCGCGCCGGGCGCCGGTCCCCCGACGGCCGGCGGTCAGCTGACACCTCAGCAGCTGCTGGCCATCGGTCGGCACTTTATGTCGCTGCTGGCCGAGACCAAGCACCGCGGGGCCTTCGAGCAGGCGCACGTCGGCTTCAGTCGGGTGTGTGCCACTCTCTGGAGGTGAGGCTTGTGGGACAATGGGGATGGGATTACGGCTCTGTAGGGTGCAGCTGGGTATGGTAGGGTAAAATACGGTTCTTTTCTATATATCACAACGTTGTGTAAATTTGGATTTCATATGAGTACCCTTTTATCATGTGTCCTGTTTTTTTTTTCTCTCTCTCCTCTCTCTCTCCTCTCTCTCTC